AAGGGGCAAGGGGATGTGAAGGGCGAGGAACAGCCCCGGGAAGGGCTTGTCCTAGCGCCTGCCCCTTGCCCCGTGCCGAGGCTGCGCCGGGGGCTCCAAGGCAGAAATGACACAGCCCGGCCATTTCCACAAGACCAGCTTTAATATCAGTCATGAGAACGAGGAGAAAGCACAGAATCCATTAACGGAAAAAAAAAAAAAAAAAATTAAAAAAAACTTTAAAAAAACCCCAACTTTTTTTAAAAAAAATAAAGAAAATCATAAAGAAACCCCCCGCCCCGTGCCCACCCGCCGCAGACGGACTATCCAGGCACTGCAGACGGAGGAGCACGACACAGCAGCCGGGGGGGACGTTCCACCAAGAGCCACCGGTCCAGGGATGCTCACCTTGGGGTGACTGGTAGCGCTGAGGAGCCCCGGCCTCGGGGGGGGCCCCGGCTTAGCTTAAGATTCATCACAGACTGACACGAAGGACAAGAACGTAAGAAGAATCCAAGAGCTGCGACTTTTTGTTTCTTTATTCTAATTCAGCCTACGACGTTAGTAATGGTGATTTCAGGGGATGGCTGGGCCCGCGAGTTCCTTCTTGTAGTGAAAATCAGAGACTGTAAAGAGGAACAGAGCTTATAAAGACAGATAGGAATATATTGCCATAAAAAGAACTGGCATGCAAGTGCTTTGTACATTTGGCAGTATGTGGAATGGCGGGGCTTCGGTTTTGTTTTTTGGTGGTGGTGGTGGTGGTGGTCTCTTTGTTTTTGTACAGTTCAAAAAATGAGCTGCTGCCTTCACATCTCGAAGACAACCCCCCCACAGGAAAGGACAACACAAGTCAAGTCCAAGGCGCCTCTCGCTTGGTTTTGGCAGAGTGTATATATATAATATATATATATATTTTTATTTTTTTTTTTTTAATGCATAGCGATTTTCTTCGTTTTTTTTTTTTTTAATATATATAGATTTTTTTTTTTTTTTCCCCCGTTGCAAACCTGAGCTCGGTCCCTGCTTTCCTGTGCAGTTTTCCTTCCTTAGGTGTTGGCACTGTGGAGCGGTCGGTGGGTGTCAGCAGGCGATCTCCTCCAGCGTTCCCAGGGTGGCCTGCAGCGGCACGTTCACAGTGTGGCTGATGGTTTCCGAATGATTTGGCATGGGGTCACAAGTGCTCTGCGGACGGAGAGCGGGGGACAGGGTTACCCCGGGGGCTGCCAGATGCTCCCTGTCCCCCCCCAACTGCTATCTCTTTCCTTTGGCCAAGCCATAGCATCAATCCTTTGGAAATAAGTTGGGGGGTCAAACGCTGCGTCCGCATCGAGCCACTTCACCTCCCTACGGAGCCAACCGCAGGGAAATGTCCTCCTCTCTCCCAATGGGGCTCCTTACCACGTTTTCATCATGGCTCCCTTCCTCTTCCTCCTTTCCGAGAAGGTCTAATAATTTCTCCTTGATCAGCTGCAAGAGAGGGAGGTTGGGTTAAGGTGGGCATCCCCGAGGCACGGGGCAAACCTCACCCAACGGGGCTAGGTCCACAGCCCCAGGAGATGTGCTGGGTTTGGAGGGCCCAGAAAACCACCCGACGTGTCAAAACTGAACTCTTCACATGGAGAAAAAAAAACCAAAACCAACCCCAAACTCTATTTTTTAAATGCATTTGGGGATTTATTGAAAAACGTCAGTGATGTGAGCGCCGTTTCCCTTCACAGCCACATTATTTCCTTGGCAGCCGTGGCTGCTGAAGAATGTATTTTCAAGGGAAATCCCAGTTGGGTTGAAAAGTGAGTGTTTTTCTGAAAAACTTCCACTGGTGGGAAAGAAGAAAAAAAAAAAAAGCAAAAAGAAAACGAGCTGAAAACTAGAAAAAATTAGGTCAGTTCCTCAGGAAGCGAGGTAGATGCTGGCTGGTACACAGAGACATGTGGTGGGGATTTGGGACCCCAAAGAGCCCAAAAGCACAATTCTGCTCTGGGGCAGGACCATGAGAAGGATTGCACTGAGCCAACGATGATAAAAACTTCATCTCTATGGTCAATATTTCATGTGATTTTGACTAAGTCATCAGGAAAGAACAGTTGTAGCCGTTGGTTGGCCATCTCAAACAGTTTATAAATGCTTTGGGTGAAAACACAGTGAGTTTTAGGAGCTTTGGACCCCACCTCGATGAAACCCTGAGAAGATTAGACCAACCATGGAGACTAGCCATCGTTTAAGACATTTTATTCCTTCTCTCCCTGTCCGGTGGTGGGTTAAATATCTGTCATGGGTGACCATGAAGATGACCCCTGCTCAGGACATAGCTGGGTCAACTGGCTGGTGCATCCCCTGGCAGCCTCTCCAAGGAGACAGGACGCTCTCTTAAGCCGTGCTTGCCCAAAAAGAAGACAAAAATGGGGAAAAAAAACCCAGCAAGTGGAAACTATTTCCTAAGTTTTATAAGCAGATGTCAAATAAAGGAGTTAAACAGAGAAGAAAAATCCAAACTTTGCAAGGTTTCTTATTACCTTCTTATAAAAGAACCCCAAGAAAGCTGGGAATAGGCAATTTTAATGAAATATTGTGTGCATTCAGCCTCAGACACAAACTGAGGCGCAGGGTTTGTTTGCACTCCGAAGCCATTATGAGCTTTATGCTTGTAATTTTCAATATATTTTATTGCAGAATAATGCCACCGAGCGCTAACAGCTGCCCAGGAGGGACTGTGATTGGGGAGTGACTGTCTCGAAACGTAAAGCTAGAATCCCAATTTTAATAACATTAAGAGGGTTTTCAAGCTGCATCAAGGGAGCTCGGAGCAGAGACGGTGGTGGCCCCATGTCCCTGTGCACCCACCTGGCTTGGCACACATTCATGCCACAGCCATGGATGACCCCCCCCTTGACTGCATTATCCCATGGGATTAAAAATCCCGGGTCCCATCACCACATGGGGCTGAGACAGGGATATGAGAGTTCTGGGCAATGCAGGTGTAAGATATCACGTATTTGGGTGCAGGGGACCAGCCACTGCATTAATGCCACCAGGCAGAGAAGCTGAACTGGCAGGAGGCACCTTCCCAAGGACAAGGGCAAAGGACCAGGGGCTGGGATGTGCCAAATTTGCTGAGGACTGCCCATCTGCATAGGTGTCTGCCTCCTCCTCCAAAATATCCCAAGGCAGAACCTCATTTTTTTTCCTGCTATAAAACAAGACACGTTCTTGAGCGTTCAGGTCCTTGGGGTCATCTTGGTGGCTTGCAGCCAGCTGCAGCCCTTCTCCCTGCCTCAGTTTCCCTTTTTATAAACCAAAAATCAAGAGCCTGGCCCTCAACACAAAGCCCTCTGCAACGTGGCTGTGAAGACTAGGAAGGAAACCAATGGCTTGGTGGGGAGGATGCTCCAGGGAGGGTTCTTTTGACCTCTTTGAGGTGAAAAATGGGGTGGAAAAAGTCCAAATGGCAGGAGGGTGCAGCCAGAAGCCGGAATTTGCCTCTGTGCTCACAGGGGCTGCGGTGGAGGATGCTGGAGGGATGATGCCACAGGAAAGCTGTGACAACATGGGACCACCACGGTGCTGGCACCACGGCACAGAAGAGCCAAAATCCCCCAGGAGCTGCTGTCCTGGGCTGAGACACTCACCAGGGGAATTTTCTTAGGCAAAAAGAGATTAAAAATGCACAAGGGTCGTAACTCCACGGCTGGAGGGCAGGAGGAGGGAGGGCTGCCAGAAAGCAATGGCTCCTCCAGACTGCTTATTGCATTAATTTCCATTAAAGAGGGCTTTCACTTTTCTCCATGCGGCCACCGTGGAGCCACGGGACCACGCTCGAGCTCCTCTGGGTGCTTCCTAGAAACCTCCTTGCTCCAGGGCTGCTGGCACAGGCACTGGGGTTTTTCCAGTGGTCCAAGGTCTGGCCTCGCTGCTTCTCCCACCTGATGGGGCTCAGGCATTAATTAAAGAAGTTTTTATGAGAAGATGGCAACAATGTGCTACTGGGAGAAGCCCAACTGGGGACAGGGACAACAGCCAGTCCCCAACCAGCACTCCTCAAGCAGGGTGAGATCCAGGGTGAGAAGCAGCACAGCCACATGAAGGTGGGTGCTTAATTAGCCCAAGCGAGAAGGAAACCTCATTAGCAGAGGGAGGACCTTGGCTATGCCATGCCATGGCTGCGTGCCACCCTCCCCACTGATGAAGGGACCTCCACCCCATGCTATGTAGACATGACTGATTATATAGCACTATTGCAAAGTGTTAATCATATAGAATGATTAATTAACATTAATAATCCATGCGGGCACATTGGGCATGGAGGATCCTGGTCCACAACCACCCAAGCCTGGCATCAGGGCTGGCAAACCCACAGGCCACCAGAGGAACAAGGTGAAGGCTGAGGGTCTTACCTCATATATATAATCGAAGAGCTCTAGTATAGTGAGGATGCTAGCACCGATAAATAGCCCCATCTGGCCTCCAATGTCACCTGGAACAGAGAACAACACGCAGGTGGCTTTTACCCCTGGGGGTAAATGCTCCTCGAGGTACCCCTGCAACCACGGTGTGGCTGCCCTGGGTGCCACTGTCCCCAGAGAGTGGGAGAACCATCACCCCCAGAGACACCAACAGCTCCAACAGTGTGAAAAGCATCCCGGGAAGGACACTGCCGGCCACCAAAATGCTTCTCCTGCTAACAAGGCCATCAGCTGGAAGCCTAATGAGGATGCGGTACCGCAGCTGGCACGCGAGGCAGCCATCTGTCAGAGGCAGACAGCAGGCTATGTCCCAGCAATCCCAAAGCCCAAATCCCAAACTGGGCGGGGGAAGGAGAAAGATGCTGGAGAAGAATTAAGTAACATCCCCTGGAGCCAAGAAAAAAACCCCAAACCTGCCAAAGAGAGGAAAGGGAGCGGGAAAATGGTAGCTTTTTTTTTGGGGGGAGCATCTCAAAGTTGTCTCTGCTCAAGTCCTCCAGTGCCCCAGGGCTGGGGAAGGGCTGTGGAGGAGGGCAGAGGAGACTGTGGGCAGAGGAGACATCCAGGGATCTGAGGGGATGATGGCTCCTGACATGAGATGCTCTGCTCTGACAAAACACGTCCTTCAGGGAAGCCAAATCTCACAGATTTTGCTGCAAAACATCCATAGTTCAACTGTGTTGCTCCCCAGAGTGAAGGCACCCATTGGTGGAAGAGCTACCAGGACCTTTGCTGTTGGTGTCCCTGAGACCGAGACAGAAGAAAGAGAGGAAAAAAAGGTGCTTTGGGGCAAAGTGCTGGTTCAAAAGAGGCTGAGGACTAGGGGAGTGATGAGACTCTGCCCAAAGCACCAGGGAACCCACAGTACATGCAGATGGGGTCATGGCATGGACACTGCAGAGCTACTGCTTCAGAATGACACTGGGGCACCCACCGGGACATGGGGACCTCTGCTCCCTGCTGTGTCCCCTGTCCTGGGGCAGGCTCACAGTGTCCGGCCCCACGGGATGTCCCAATTCCAGCTTTCAACTGAAGGTGCCGATCGCTCCCTGCATCCCAGGAGGGACTTGGGGACTGGGGGTGGCTGAGTGTGGGCACAGAGCATGGTTGCTTCTCCTGATCAAATACCTCCACCCCAATGGGTCCCAAGCACCCAAATCTGGCACCCATAAAGCTTGACCCAGCTTGAGGCTGAGCAACCCAACTACTCCTCCACCTTCTCCATCAAGCTGTGGGGCAAAGAGCTCAGGGTCCTGACTGGCCAGGCTGGAAAGGAGGATTTAAGAGGTGATGGGTAGATGGTTTTAAGAGCTGTTCTCCACACACTACCCTTCCAGCATGGGGGGCACCACAGAGACCATCCATCACTTGTTCAGCCCTGGGATTTCCAAATAATAGGGCTCTGGTAGCAAACTGAGATGGAGCAGCTCATGTCAACCTTTCACAGGTGACACATGGACCAGCTGTGGTCCCTGGGACATTCCCCATCTTGCTGTTGGAAGGCAAATGGGAAGCTGTGGCTGGATCTTGCTGGGATTTCATGGGAATGCACATAACCTGTGCACCCACTCGCGGCATCTTGTCTGTCCCATAAACACACACGGACTCCAAAATGCACCCCCGGCCTCTCCTTACCAAGTAAGGCTGCCACTTCATAGGCTTTCTTCTGTTCAATTGTCTCATAGTTGAGTGCTTCAAAAAATATGTCCAGCACAAGAATATTCTCTCTGTAGAAAGAGGAAAACAGCATCAGCCCATCAGCCACTATTGGCCTTGTGTGCTTTGGGACAAGAAAAAAAAAAGGGGCTTTAGGTCTCTCCCTGTCTGGACTGTTCTCCTTCTGGGGACCTCAGCAACCTATAGATACTTGGACCACCTGCAGACCAAGACCACAGGGCACGGACAGGAGTCCAGCCTTAGCAGAAGCTGGAAATGTTTCCCCAAGATCTCTCAGGATCTGAGCTCTGGATCTCACTGATGGTAACAGCAAGAGTCCAAAGGATGCTTAATACGGAACAACTCTTGCTGCCTCCACAATAATACACCCAGCGCTGGGAGAGGTCCAGGACAGTGGCTGCCTGAGGTCCACAGCCCAGACTTGGGTAGAGAGTAGGCACATCTCAGACAGGGCCAGCAAGACTGGGCTTCCCTATCAAAATAAGAGGAGGTTTTGCACTTTTTTGGGATGAATATGGAGACAGGGACAGGGAAGGACTATCCAGTTGTCCTGAAATAGGTCTACTGAGATGAAAGCAACCTATACCTCACCTCTTCAACCCCCCCTGAAGGACATATCTCTGTGTAGTGATAGAGGCATTGGCAAGGTCTGGTCTTAGCACGGGCTGGGTTAAACTCCCAACAGGGTTTTATACTTTCCCCCCATAAAGCAAAGAAGGTCTGTTTTCTGCAGCACTCACGAGATATATTTTTCGGACTTGTTGAACTTCTTCTCCAGGTACTTGGCTGAGGTCTTGCTGGGGATCTTGACCATGGAGAGCTCTTTGTTGTACCTGGTCAGGTTACAGGGTGTCCTGCAGATGCAGTAATTGCTGTCCTTTTCAGCAAGCAAACCTGGAGAAGATGACAGAGTTAGGTCTCATGGAGTCAGGGACACACAGCAGAGGTCATGCCAACCAGAGCGGGGCCAAGGAGTCACATTTCAGAAGAGCTGCAGGGAACCCAGTCCTGGCCATTTCTCTGCCAGTCCATTGCGCAGCCATCCCCACCATCTTGGAGAGGCCTGTTGTTGGAGGCTACACTCTGTGAGCAGCATCTGCTGGGGGAACATGGGGTGATTGAGTCTCCTAAATCCAGACCTGGAATGGGTCCCTACCTCCCAAACCTAGACCCAGAGGTGCTCCCCTCCTACATCTCCTGAGGTGCTCGTTATCCTGAGGGTTTCTGCACCGATGGAGCCACATGCCCCACGTAGAACCAGAAGAAACTTTATCCCAGGGTGCACCCAGACCTTCCCAACAAGTTGGGTCTCATCAAACCCCATCGCTGGGTTGCAGCTGCTCTAGATGACCCCAGTCCTGCCAGTCAGGAGGACACACAGGCTGCTGGAAGTCCCTCCAGCCTGGGACAGCCATGGTACCCAGGGATATCTCCTGGTACTCACCGAGCGCAGGCTCTGCGCATTCCTTATACTGCTCCGGGGTACAGAAGGGTGCATCCCCTGCAGGGAAAGGACATGCAGAATCATGGAATGGTTTGGGTTGGAAGGGACCCTATTCCAACCCCTGCCCTGGGCAGGGACACCTCCCACCACACCAGGTTGCTCCAAGCCCCCTCCATCCTGCCCTTGAACCCCTCCAGGGATGGGGCAGCCACAGCTTCTCTGGCCAACCTGGGCCAGGCTCTCACCACCCTCACAGCAAACAAGTTCTTCCTAAGATCTCATCTAAATCTCCCTCTCTTGCAGTTTAAAACCATTGCCCCTTGTCCTGTCACTCCACACTGTGGATGGATCCACATCCATCAGTGGGCACCAGCCACTGCTGCTGTGAGGGAACTGGGGACTGCTGGGCTCTCCACGGGGACCACAAGGACCTCCCTTTAGCAAAGTGAACCCAGATGCTGGGGGGACCCAGCATCTCCCCCACCTCTGCCTGCTGTGAGGGCCTTCTCTTGCAATCTGAGGTGGGGGGTGCTGCTGGAAATACCTCCCAGGGCTGTTAAGGGGCTAAATATGGAGAAATCAGACCCATGTCCCTCTGCCACATCCTGCCCCTATTTCAGGGCCTTTTGCAACGGTTTTTAGCATCTTTCTTTCCTTGGGGAAAGGTCTTCCCAGCTAATTCAATCCCTGGTCCCTTTCCAGCTCGTTAACCTCTAATCATGACCCAGGCTGGATGGAGGGAGGGGGGTCCCCACCCCTCCCACCCCCCCTCAGCAGACCGACCTGGCATGTGAACCATTTTGCAGTTGCAGTTTTCCACAATATACCGGGTCTCGCAGTCGATCCTGCAAGCCGTGATACTGTAAACGGGAAAGAAGTCTAAGCCCATATCCGACGAGCGACATTCACCCCACGGCGGAGGCAGGTACGTCAGCTGCAAGAGAAGGATGAGTGGGGTGTCAGGGGACTCCGGGGACCAGCCATGATGGAGCAGGGCACAGCATCTCCCTCCTCTTGCCACCGAGGCACCCCCCCAGAGCCCAATTTTAATGATTGGACCAAGCGGTGCCTTTGCAAGGGATGGTCACAGCTTGACTTTGGCCAAGGGAGAGTCTTCAGCAAGCTCTTCTGCTCCAGAGCTGCTCTGCCACGTCCCTCCAACCCAGCATCTCCGGGAGGAGAGCCACAGCAGGATGGTGCGCTGGAGATGTGCAGCACCAGAGGTTCTCCAAGATCAGCTCTGTGGTCTTTCTTGCACCACTGGGAAAATCCTCCCCATGCAGGGACTGAAGGGGAGGCTCTGACCTACAAATGATCTCCAGTTTTGGTGACAGCAAACATAGGGTTGTTGGCACCGGTGTGTCACAGAAACTCAGACTGGCAGGGGTTGGAAGGGACCTCTGGAGATCATCCAGTCCAACCCCCTGCCAGAGCAGGGTCACACAGAGCAGGGTCCCATCCAGGGGGTGTTTGAATGTCTCCAGAGAAGGAGACTCCACCACCTCTCTGGGCAGCCTGTTCCAGGGCTCTGCCACCCTCACAGGAAAGAAGTTCCTCCTCATGTTCGGATGGAACTTCCCCTGTCCCAGTTTGTGCCCATCACCTCTTGTCCTGTCACTGGGCACCACTGAGAAGAGTCTGGCCCCATCTTCTTGCCACCTGCCCTTTAGCTATTGCTCAGCATCGATGAGGTCCCCTCAGTCTGCTCTTCTCCAGCAGAACAGTCCCAGGTCTCTCAGCTTTTCCTCAGCAGAGAGATGCTCCAGTCCCTCATCCTCTGCTGTCCCCTCTCCAACAGTTCCCTGTCCTTGAACTGGGGAGCCCAAAACTGGACCCAGTGCTCCAGATGGGGCCTCACCAGGGCAGAGCAGAGGGGGAGGATGACCTCCCTCCACCTGCTGGCCACGTTCTTCTTAATGCCCCCCAGGAAACTATTGTCCTTCTTGGCCACAAGGGCACGTTGCTGGCCCAAGGGCAGCTCCCACCTCCAGCTTATTCTAACCTCTGAACTGCCCCACTCTGTGCCACTCCTGGGGACAACACAGACAGCACTGGTGACACTGAGGAGCAGAAAGGGGTGGCAGTGAGATCCTGGCAATGGACATGATCACGCTGGTGTCAGCAAAGCTGCTACATCTGCACTGTTCCCTTCTTCGGGCACTTTTCTCGTTGATGAAAAATGCAGCAGATCACAACCCTTAGAGAGGGCCAGGGACTTGGGAAGCACATGGAAAGGACCGAGAACAGTTCAGCAACTAGAGATTGCTGCAGAAGGTGAAAAATGCCATGGAAAGGGTGTACCAGTGCCATACGGAGCCTCCAAACCCTCCTGCTCCCCATGGAGGGATGGTTCTGCTCAGAGTGGTGCTGCCATGGGAGATGGTGCCAGGCTGCAGAGCAGTACCTCGCCGCAGCCTTGGAGAAGACAACCAAGTGAATCATGTCCTTTTCAGAACACCCATGCTCAGGGAGAGCCCCATGGAATGAGATAGACGTTATCCACTCTTCTGGCCCCCCATGACGATGAGGAAATGTCTTCTTCTCCCCAGTTTGCACACCACCTCACGTGAGGCTCAGGAGTTGCTCTGCTCAGTGCTGGTGTAATGCAAACCCTTCTGCTGTTACCACCTCATTTAACACAAATGCAAAGATAAGCCAAGCAGGACTCCACAACCCACCACAGAAACCTTAATTCAGGGCCCAGAAAATGCTGGAGGAAAGAAAAGTCTGGCCCCCACGGCCAAATCTACCTTGTTCCTCATCTGTCTGCAGCTTGGCAGCCTTTCTCCTTTCTCTTTCTCTTTGCTAAATGCTCTGCACAACTCTTTGCTAGAGAGCAGAAAATAGCATTCCCCAAACCCCTCCTTCTTTGTGTTTTAAAGCAGCGTCCAATTTGTGGTGCTTTGCTCCAAACACAGAACGTTTTGTGCTGGCAAAGCGCGTTGGCTGAACAAAAACATTCCTTTAAAAAATATAGTAACATTAATCACATCCTAAAATAAATATGTAAACATATGTTGATGGACTATGAGCCTAGGACTTAGTGGCAAGGCTCTGCAGTGCTTGTTCTGGGTTTCTCCTGGAGATCAGTGGGAAAGGGAGGAGAAAAGAGATGTCCCACGAAGTGGAAGCAGATGCTGTAGGATAAAAACTGACCTCATGAGTCCTTCAGGCATGGACCTGGGGCAACTATGACAAAACTACCGTTGGAGAGCCGTTGGAGACCATGCTCTGCCCCATGAGATCTCCTGTAGGAACAGAGCTCCAGGTCTCCAAAGCACCCTGTGAAAAGATGCTCACCTTGTGCACCAGCTTGCAGTGCTGGGGCACTGGTGAAACTCCCCATGGCTTTGAGTTATGGACCACTCAGACGTTAAAACCCCATAATGGGCTTAAATTGCTGCCAGGAAGAGAAAGACGAGATGTTAGGAAGAACACACCTTGTGGTGAGGACTGTTGGGTATGGCAACAGTCTGCCTTGGAGGGGCACGAAGCTAAAGGAGAGTTTGGGGAAGATGCCAGACTTCAGAGAGTGATCCTGCCCTCTGGGGCTGGAGAAGTTCTCAACTCAGCCAAGATAATTCCTTCTCTAGGAACAATTTTGTTTTGAACACTTCCCATCCAGCAACCCAGAGGTGCTTTGCTTATTCCAGCACTTTACTTGCTGCACCTACGGGTGTTATACTGGTTCCCAGTTAGTTCTGTCTCCAACAGGTTGACGCAGGCTTTATGGGACCAGCTGGAACCATGCTGTGGCATACTCATCTTCTAGATGAGCCACAGGTTCTCCCCATGATGAGACAGATGGCCGTGCAAGGTCTTCCTTGAATGACCCCAAAGCTAGAGCCCAGAAAAGCTCAGACCTGCCTGCACAAGGGTGAAGGGGATCTCCAGGTGATAGTGAACCCCTTTTTGGCTCTGGACCTACCCCAACAGCCAGGGATGGAGGGAATCACCAACTCCTTTCCCCTTCTCCTGGGTTGGGTGAGCATCAACCCAACTTTCAAGCACCAATGAGACACAAAACATGGTGATGTCCAGTGCCTTGGCAGGATGCTGTGCCTGCCAGCACCAGCACCACCCATGGGTGTCTGGGATGCTTGTGGTGGGATGCGAGCTCCGGCACCCCCAAATCTGCCCCAATCCTTGCTGCTGCTCAAGCTGCTTTGAAAAGCTACAGCAGCAAGAGCCGTTCCACCACCAGGAGCGACACACACCGGTCTCCGTGCTCAGCGGGGCCGAGCAGAAGAGCAGACAATATCCAGACGGGGTGTGAAGATGCAGCAGGTGATGGAGGGATCCCATCTGCGGGGACCAGCTGAGGCATGAAAGGGAGGAAAAAAAAAGCAGTTTCCCACAATCTCGGCATCCTCCGAGAACCAGGCCTGGCTCTGAAGGGGATGGTTTTGAAAGTCAGCAAAGCAGCACCTTGGAATGAAAATATCAAGAGCGTCTCTGTGACAATAGCAAAGTGCTGCTTGAAGGGGATCTTTTCTCATTTGCTTTACACTTACAATATAATGGAGTGCCAGATGCCATCATTTAGTCATCCGCGGCGGAGAAAGGGGCCCATATGTTGCACGTTGTATGATAAAGGAGAATAAATAATCGCGGTCTCAGATGGTATCAGCTCCTTTCCAAGCACAGCTACACACAAATCTTTTAAGCCCTTTAAATTTTATTTTGAATGTAGGTGACGGGATCAGAAAACGCTGGGAGTCGTGACCAGATATTTAGCTCACACACTTTTTTGCTCAGCCAGCGCTGGATTTGAGCCACGGTGCTTGTGAACTGGCACGGCATCTGCAGGAGGTGCACGGGCTGAATCATTAATTAAACCCCAATCGATGCAACTTCATTAACAGAGTTATGGCCAGGATCACGAGCACCGACTACCCCCCGACCACGAAGGAAAGCTGGTTTGCATCTCCCCAAAAGCGTGGTGTTCCTTGGGGATTTGCTGCCTCACTGCACACACAGAGCGGAACTCACTTTTCTCTGGCTTCCTAAACATGCAGGAATTGAATCACAGAATCATTGAATCATCCAGGTTGGAAGGGACCTTTCAGATGATTGAGTCCACCCATCAACCCAACCCTTCCCAAACCACCACTGACCCATGTCCCTCAGCACCACGTCTGCCTGGCTTCTAAATACCTCCAGGGATGGTGACTCCACCACTGCCCTGGGCAGTCTCTTCCAAGGCTTGACAACCCTTTTTGGTGAAGAAATTTCTCCTAATATCCATCCCAGGTACAACACATGTCCCCTGCCACATGCCAAGGTTTTGTTCTCCGAATCTCTGGTACTTCTGACCAAAAAGAGCCTCTTGGTGGATTTAACCCCAGTGGATGTTTTTTTGCTTCGCAGCATAAAGACCTTCCCTGGTTTGGAGCAAAGCACGTGGTGTCTGGGACTGACAGGAGACTCCAGGAAAGCTCCAATTTTTATTTTTTGAAGGAAATTTCCCCAGGGACACTCCTGGCCATGGAGCAGAGCCCTGTGGGGTGCGTCATAGGCACCCTTGGTGCTGCCTTGTGGTGTGTTAATCCCTACCTCTTTATAGGTAGGGATTAATATACATATATATCAATATACTTCTTTATAATCCCTACCCTATCTATATGGAGATAGGATATACCCTGTCTTTAATGGCTGGAGAGCTGCCTGACAGAAAAGGACCTGGGGGTGTTGGTCGACTGTTGGCTGACCATGGGCCAGCAGTGTGCCCAGGTGGCCAAGAAGGCCAATGGTAGCCTGGCCTGTGTCAGGAACAGTGTGGGGAGTAGGACTCGGGAGGTGATCGTCCGCCTGTACTGGGCACTGGTGAGGCCTCACCTCGAGTGCTCTGTCCAGTTTTGGGCCCCCCACCACAAAAAGACATTGAGGTGCTGGAGCGGGTCCAGAGAAGGGCAACGGAGCTGGTGTCTGGAG